ATATTCAGTTTATAAAGTATGGAATTTTTTAAGTAATCTGTGAAATGAGCTACAAAAGAATTCGATGAAACTTGATAAAATTTTCTTAGCGAATTCATGAGATGTTAAGAATTATCTATGGGAATAACACACTAGAAATATTTTTCATTCAAGTAGATCAACATTTGCAGTGAGAACCGTGACCGCTACAAACATAATTCAAGACCATACTGATCGTCAACCTACTGTGTAAGTAAGTAAATTAGAAGTGTGATTTCTTGAATTTCCAATTATCAGTTCTTTCTAAGGATAAGTCCTGATGAGCTGAATGTGAGATAATCAATCTATCGCTCGATTCTAAGAGAAAGTACAAAAAGACCATGATCTGGTTACACAAATTCCCTGGTAGGGTCGAGAGCGGGGAGAGTTAACTCTCCCTCTTCAAATGCTCACACATGGCTACGTGTATACAGTCACTCACAGGGAAGTCCTAATCACTCCCTTATCGCACAACGGGTGTTGTTTACGAAACTGAAAAGACGAAAAACGAATGTCCGACGCTTTAACCGGGTTGGTGGACACGGAGGATTCACCTAGCTGAGTTGCAAAACCCTCATTCCAAACCAATGATACATACGGACTCCAGGATCCTGAGGGAACAAATGGCACATGAGCCCATAGTTGGTGACCAGCTACCATGGGACCGCATCTTCTGACGTTTCTCTACTGTCTTGTGTATTAGACCTTTAGGCCGAAGGCTCGGGGTGTGGTCCCTTAAGGAAACCATCTGTTCGGTTTGGGCACCCGGGTAGTATCCCATCCCTGACACAAATCGAATGATTTATGTGGTGCTTTTCTATCTGGTGCCTTCTTGTACCAATTTTATGTGCTCAAATAAATAAATACACATTCTAACTCCTGAGGACTCCTTGAGGTATTTGAATATTGGGAACAATGATGAGATGACTGTTTTTATCACAAGTAAAGTGTAATTTAAAGAGAGCTCGATTATTCCACTGTAATGTTTAAACTAGTTACTAATACCTTCATATATCGTTCCTCGTCTGTTTTGAATTGAGAAATATACTACGTTCATATGTACTGTCCAATTTCTTTCTAATTCGAATACTCAACTATTCTTAACTACTAGAGTATGAATTAAACAATCTTGGTATTATCGATTCAATTACTTTTAATCATCATCTACATTCTAAACTTTTCAAGGTACAATTTTTTTAAGAACTCGTGTTGTTTATTTAGTAAACAGACTACTTATAATATTTTAATATTTGAAACTCATCAGTAGTGCGCATCAACGATCCCACCTCGCGAGATTCCAACTCAGCACATATCGATCTCACGCATAAATGCTTCACCTCTAGACCACTGAGCCATTGCGCAAGACTGATAGATCCTGGGTTCGAATTTGATGAGACGGGATCGTGGATACCCACTGTAGAACAGAACAACCATCCAGGCCATTCAAGTTTACCATGATGATCTAACTTTCATTGACTCATGATCTCAACTATTAAAAATTACTATAATATCCACACACAAAAAACCCATTCTGATATTCATAATATAAAATATAATCCGTTTTAATTCAATACTCACATTTCATTTCATAGTGAGAAAAATAAACAAGAGAAACAACAACAACAACAACAAAAATTGACAATCATTTGGTTAAATCAAAAAATGCCAAAGTAATTCATTGTTAACACATTCAAACAAGATCATTGTAACATAGTTTTAATACTATATACATTATCTATAACTATGTATGCCGTTTACATTGGTATTACATAATATACATGATAGTCATTACATTCTTTCAATGGATTTATCAATAGTCAACTATATGTGTATATATGTATATGTATACATACATCATTTAAAGAAATGGTACTACCATCATCATCCTAATTCAGTTTTATGTTTTATGTAACCTTTACTTAATAGTATATTTAGATAATAAATACTCACAATAATACTACTATGATGGATAGTGGCTAACAGTGGAAACCAGGACGGGCGTTTCGTCCTATTTGGGACTCGTCAGCTGGAGATGCCTGCGTTTCAGAGTTGATGTTCACTCTGGGACTCGAACGCGTCCTGGATTCCACTGCTCGACACTATCCATCATTGCTTACAAAACGCTTGTGAATTAAAGCAACATCGAGGCATACGTACAGTATGCACATATGCTAATAACAGACTGATCAATTACAGTCTTAAACCTCAATGGGAAGATAAAAGCCAAACAATACCAAGTGAATACTACTATGTATGATTATATAATGATATATTTTTGTAAATATTAATGTTATATCCCGATGAGAATAATGAATGGTAACTGTTGGGATCCATTTCTGAACTAATACTATACTATATATTCTTATTGTATAGTTGTTAAGTAACTAAACTATTCATAATCGTATTCCCCTTATCATAAGCTTTATTTTGATCTATGAATTATTATTATACGATTTACCATTCTTGAGTTATGCCCAGACTATGCATTACTATCTCCCATATTCACAGCCACATTTGGCTAGATCATGTACAAATGTGATGTGATCTGTTTGGTTTGTATATAAACCCAGTATGTTTGAAATACATGATTCATATTGCACAAGCTGAAATTGCTGTTCATGAGTTAACAGGCACAGCTGGGTAGGAAGCAGGACGGTAGACTGCTCGTACTTGTTTTATTCATCGTTGCTCCCGTTGATAAGTCACTGTTCTCTAATTGGAGGTATCTTTACGTGATACATTGATAAGGGCACAAACTCACAAGTTTTAACAATTAACTTAATAGATTTCATAGTAAATTACATTCAATCTTACTGTTCTTTTAAATATTTAATGAATTAATTGTTTATATCTTATTAATCACATAAGGATGTCAGTTTTCGGGCAATATACATTTTTCATGATCTTATATAGACCATCAATGGACAGTTGTTTTGTTCTAGTACGATGCTTCTTAACAGTGTATTTTCACAATCCCGACATAATGAATCGAATTCATTCGGTTATTTGCAACTCCATACTCAAATAGTTACCGTTGAGCAGGAATCCAAAACAGTACAGGTTTAATTGTAATCAACCTAAGATATTGTATTGCCTTTCTTGATATTACCTGGTGTAGATAATTGTATCAACGGTTACAGATTCTCACTACATTTTAAAGCTAGCCCTCCATACGTACATGATTATCAACAGTATAGCATTTTGATGGATGAACAGTGTTGAGAATTCTTAAACTAGAACGAAACTTTTGTTCAGTACTTCCAGATTTTTAATGATAGTTTAGCTAAAAGATCATTTTGTGATTTAAAACAAATGAAAATTTCATATTTTCCCAATATGTTCTATCACGAATTATTAGACACTGATATTACGGTGTGTGCTACTTATATCGACATAAGTAATATATAACACTAATCAGAAATACAATATCTGGCAGCAGAAAGTCGAGAAGGAAAAAAATGGGAACAGAAAGCAATTAGTATGTAAGTGAATGAACAATCAAGTCTGGGACGATTGTTTGTCGTTTTTTAAATGAAGGATTTACTGTATGATTCCTCAGATTTTATTAAGCGATTCTGCTTCGGTTCGAGCAGCCAGGCAGTAGCTTAGCTCTCACACAATCCGAATAATTTATATGACGCATATCTATTTGATGCCTCCTTGTACCAATGTTTATATGATTAAATAATATTAGTAAAGTGTAGATTCTCATTTAGAAAAAGATGAATAGACCGAAGAAATATTATTTTCAGTAATAGATTTACTAAATAAAATCCTATTCGATTATCAATGAATCAAATTCTTTTAAACAATATACACTACAAACCAAGATATCAGGTAATAAATAACATTTTACGCCGGATGACGGTTCAGTGGTCTAAAGATTAAGAATTCGCGTGCGAGACCGGTAGATCCTGGGTTCGAATCTCGCGAAGTGGAGTCGTGAATACACAGTGCCAAGGAGAAGTCCCATACTAGAACGAAACGACCGTTCAGTGCTTCCAGGTCTTCCATGGTGGTCTAGCTTAAATTGATTCATGATCTCAACTATTAATATTTTTTTCACCTTATATAATATTGAATTTAACTTCAATAGTTTATGTTTAATCAGTATGAAATAAACTTTATTAGTTCTGTTTTCAGTAAAGATAATGATCAAAGATGAACAACCTATAGATTAACTGTAGTGTTTGTATAAACTAATGATTCCTTTATACTTCATTTCAAATTCCAAATACAATACGTTCGTTCATTCGTGCTCATCTAGTAGTTCTTGGTTAGGATTCCTAGTTTGTACTTTAATTCAAATACTTCATATCATCATCACATTAATACATTACTATGTTTAAGTCCATGAATATAATGTTATTGTTGTTAATTAATACCATAAATAAAAGATCATATCAACTTAAATTAGGTAGATACAAAGATGGATAGTGGCTAGCAGTGGAATCCAGAACGCGCATTTCATCTTATTTAGGACTCATTAGCCGGATGTCAGTCAGTTACAACGTAGGACCTGGCACATACATGCATCGGTCCAAGTTGCCACACCTCATTAGTACAGCAAGACGAACACTGAATTCAACTGGATGAACCTGCATCTCAGAGTAGATAAACCATTACTATGGAAACTGAACATTTAAGAAAGACTGAAAACATTTTCTCATTTACCAGCTATTTTTTAAAAAGAAAATATTAATAATAATAAATTAACCTAAATAAACAATAATAAAGTTCGATTGATCTTTTAATCATATTCGAATGAGAACAATGTTTGAAGATAGTTGTTTAACTCTTATTATATGAACGTAGGATTTAAAGCACCACCATCACCACTACCTCTATTACCACCACCACCACCGTGTGGAGCATATATACCTGGTACCCCCTTGTACCAATATTTATGTGTTCAAATAAATAAATAATCAATAACTACCACCACCACCACCAGCAACAACAACAAAAGACAATAATCTTTTAGAAAGAATTTTAATCGTCAAGAAAAAAAAGGTTTAAAACTAATAAACAACTTGTGAAGAGGAAATCATAATCATTTAGACAGGATTGATTATAATGTTCTTTATGAAAGAACCAAAAGTAAGAATAAAACACAACAAATAAAATAAAATATACAGTTATAAAATTAAATTAGAAGCATTTACGATGTACAATACCTGGACCAGATTCATCATATTCTTGTTTTGTGATCCACATTTGATTAAATGTTGATAATGAAGCTAATATAGACCCACCAATCCATACAGAATATTTACGTTCAGGTGGTGCTACAATTTTAATTTTCATTGTTGTTGGAGCTAAATTACAAATTTCTTTTTGCATACGATCTGAAATACCAGGAAACATAGTAGAACCACCAGATAGAACAATATTTGAATAAAGATCTTTACGAATATCAACATCACATTTCATAATTGAACTATAAGTTGTTTCATGTATACCGGAGCATTCCATACCTAAGAAACTTGGTTGTAACATTGCTTCAGGACATCGAAAACGTTCATTACCAATTGTAATCACTTGACCATCAGGTAATTCATAGCTTTTTTCAAGTGATGAACTATGTGAAGCAGTACCCATTTCTTGATCAAAGTCCAAAGCAACATAACACAGTTTTTCTTTGATGTCACGAACAATTTCACGTTCAGCAGTAGTTGTAAAAGAATGACCACGCTCAGTTAATATTTTCATAAGATAATCAGTTAAATCACGACCAGCCAAATCAAGACGAAGAATTGCATGTGGTAGAGCATAACCTTCATAAATAGGAACAGTATGACTTACACCATCACCTGAATCCAATACTATACCCGTAGTACGACCAGATGCATACAAAGATAAAACTGCCTGGATAGCAACATACATGGCTGGACTGTTGAATGTTTCAAACATAATCTGTGTCATTTTTTCACGATTTGCTTTAGGATTCATTGGTGCTTCAGTAAGTAGGACAGGATGTTCTTCTGGGGCTACACGTAATTCATTATAAAATGTATGATGCCATATTTTCTCCATATCGTCCCAATTCGAAACAATTCCATGTTCAATAGGATATTTCAAAGTTAGAATACCTCTTTTTGATTGTGCTTCATCACCAACATAACTATCTTTTTGTCCCATACCAACCATAACACCTTGATGTCTTGGACGACCAACAATTGATGGGAATACAGCTCTTGGTGCATCATCACCAGCGAATCCAGCTTTACACATACCGGATCCATTATCAATTACAAGTGCACTTATTTCATCTTCTGACATTTTGTAAAAATCAAGTGAATTGAGTAAAACAACGTCAAAAGATTAATTGTTGTTTTTATTAAACTGAAGGATGTTCTGATAAGTGCTAGAATTACTAATTGCACCATACTGTAGTTTATATTTATTGTCTCACTTAACAACAACCATATATGGCTATCGATTTGATGATGTTTAGTAAACCAATAATAAATACAGGCGAATTCTAGTTCTAACAAAAATGTCGAATGCCACATTTATTTATGATAAAACATTATTAAATTCTATTATTTTAGTTACTTTGCTAAAGTATTAGATAGTCATTACTACTAAATATGTGCTCATGTATATCTCTATGTGAATGTTTGTAATACACATTCTATCTAACTTAAGTAATAAGGCAACTATTGTAATAAAGAAAGAAAAAAAAAGAAAGAAAGAAAGCTGGTTGTGTGCACTTATGTGTACATGTCATTGTTGTTTGTATGAGATTCTACATAATCATTATAATACTGAATAAAATAAGATAATTGTGATGTTTATTGTTGTTTTCTATTCAACTTTCTCTGTATTCAGAGAAGACGGTTAACAGTTACCAAGATATCAATGTAATAAGGTAACGGACGTCTTTTTTAATAAAAAAACTGATTGAACTAACCAGCACCAACATACAATTATGATATATTGCTCATTATGTAGAATAATAATAGAACAGTAAATACTTTCGGCGAGACTATCATTTATGGATGAATCAAACAGATTTATGGTAACAGATCTTGGATTTTCACGTGAAATTCTTTATCCTTTTTGCTAAATAGCATCTTGGTATTTTAGCTAATGTCAGTTTGGGATGAAAACTATAAATCTAATCCCAATCCCTAACTGTCAACTGTAAATCACAATCCTTATCCTTCATTCAGGTTTAAAACACTCATTTAGCCCCAGTGGACATTCTCAAGGCCACTTTAGCGTTGCTCAAAGTTCGTCCATAAATTATAGTTGATATGCTTGAATGCTTTTACGAGTTCACCTTACTCGGTAAACGGAACGAAGGTCAAAGATATAGTGACACGATAGGCTATTCTAATCCGTTGTCCCGGGCCCTGATAGCTAGATCAAGAAATCTTGATCAGGCGTAGAGAATGTATTCTATACCAAAGTATTCCAATCATAATGAAGTAGCATCCAGAGGATATATTACATGGACCATTGGTTTAATGTGATGGTAGGAAGAACAGTACACAGCTATCTTTGAAATTGATCATAATAATCGTTATTCAATGATTATATGAGCTGAAGAAAGATTGTTTCTGTCAGTCAATTTATTTATAGATATCGATCACCCTAAAGCCGCTTGGCCCATCAATTAATCAGATTAGGAGAAAATCCGCCAACAGTAGATCATAACTCCTGTACTCTGAAAAAAAGCAGTCACATAAATAGGAACAAACATTTGTTAAATTCACTTGGTGTTGTTTTACTTGTATCTTCCAATTGTTATTTAAGACTGCAATTGATTAGTCTCGTGTTGGCATATGTGTAACCTGTAAGGACTGCTTCGATATTGCCCCAATTCACAAGCTTTTTAAGCAAAGATGGATAGTGGCTGGCAGTGGAATTCAGGATTCGTATTTCGTCCTATTTGGGACTCGTCAGCTGGACAGTCCCTAGACTTTACATCGAGAAACTCAACTGTCAGTATAATCATATGGTTATAACGTTTATACCATATGAAACAGATAAAATACTATTTAGGAGTGGTTACAACCAGTTGCTTAAGAAAAATGATCTAAATATTTTGAGTAAGTTTTCATACTACTAGATTATGACAAGTAGTACAAGATCCACAAAATAATTATCAGACCAACACCAATACTCTGCAGGCTGTATTAAGATATAGGTGGTCAATCGTCTTTTATGGAAACTATTAATCGATAAGCACCGAAAGAGTGATAAATTAGTATCAACCACTAACATTATTAATAAATATTTACTTGACTCCAAAAATAATGATGTCTAGAAGAATTATAAACAGGTTTATAGCAATCAATGTAAGTTATTCTCTAGATACCGACTCTACCAAAATCATGAGGATTTCATGGGGTTACTCATATTAATGTTAAAAATCAATGATCGAAATGACAGTAAGCGTTCAGAAGTAATCTCTTTCAGGGTTTCTCTAAATCTCTGGTCGGTTATCATCAAAGTCCAGCGGTCAAGCGTAGTCTAGCGGTTATGATTCCTGGCTTTCATCCAGGCGGCCCGTGTTCGACTCCCAATGCGGAAAAAAGGAAAAAACCCGAATGCCCTGGTATGGCCGAGGGTAAGGAGAGTCAGCTCTCCCTCTCGAAATGCTCCCACATGGCCAATCGTATACAGCCACTCCCATGTAAGTCCTACTCACTACATTCTCGCGGCATTACTGTTGTTTACGAAATTGGGAGGACGGAAAGAGAATGTTTGATGCTATAACCGGGTTGGTGGATACGGAGGATCCACCCACAGGAGTTAGAAAACCCTCATTCCAAACCAATCGTGTATGAACCTATTGTTGGTCGCCGGCTATCATGGGACTGTATTTCCTTATGTTGCTCCACTACCTTGTGGATCAGACCACTAGGTCGAAGGCTCCATGTGTGGTCCTCTAAGAAAACAACCTGCTTTGGTCCGGGCAGTATCACAGCCCACACACAAATCAAATGACTTGTGTGGCGCATATGTAATCGGTGCCCCTTTGTATCAATATTTACGTCTTCAACTAAATCAAATTTATGATATCTTGCCAATAATATGAATGACTTAGTTGGCAAAAGACAAATGAGCCTTTTAAATCCATGTGGAGATTGTGTACTCACCAAAACAAGCCAGTCAAACTCTTATAATAGGTGAGTCAACTTCACTTACTATACCCAAACTAGGGCTTGGGGCAGACAAGTCCAGATACAATACTTTATATTTAGAAGGAAAAAGACGCATTCTAAACAAGTCAACATGATTACTCAGGGGATCCAGTAGAGTTTGCATTTTATCAGTGATTACAGAGTGTGATCTGTGTAGTATAAGTAAGATAGTAAGTCTCTCAGAAGGAACACGTAAGAAGAAAAAAGAATCCAACCTCGGGATCCAACTTTAATGGAATTTTTTCAAAATAGATAAAGTGAGGAGTTTGATTAAGATCATTTAAAGTTACAAACTATGATGATCGTTCACTATAATCACTGACACAACCGATAGATTTCGATTAAATAGGCTTTACGAGATAAGCTTTTCAATTGTAAACAATGTATCCATCACTTGAGCTGAATATAACTTCAACATGGTGAAATACGATCATAATTGAACACTAAAAAAGATTACTCATATCCTAACTTCTTTATTAATGATAAAAACGTCCTCTTTTACAAACTTTTGAGAACTATAATAACGTAATTCGAATTTCTTCTATCTCTGTGACACTATATTGGTTTATTTTTATCAGTTATACTACTACAATGTTACTATGATAACTAAAATGTGGTTTTCCATAAATCTATATAACCAATACAATATCATGAATAATAATTGACCCAATTTAATGAGTAGAAAGTGTGAATGAAGACAATGTGTACATGCACATACACACACACACACATACATACATACATACATACATACATACATACATAATATACCATTTTGACAATAACTATGATACTGATCCGTTTGGATGCCAAAACATGCGATGCACATCAATAATGAATTTATTCAACAAGAAATTACAATGACAATAAATAAAACGTTTTCTTTCTGTCTTTTTTTTTAAAAAAAAAGAGAAGCGAAATGAATAGCACACAACTTAATCAAAGATCAAGAAACAACATGAATAAATAAAAAAAATTTGGTTACATTAGATAAGAATCATCAAATAGCGTGCACCTTACACATACATACAAATAGTACAGGCATCATAATCACTTTGTGTGTTTTTATTTGATGACAGTAGTATAGGTAGTAGTAGTAATAGTAGTAGTAGTAGTAGTAGTAGTAGTGTGTAGGATCTGTGACAGTAACAACAATAATGATCAATACTCAATCAATCTTGACGAATAATTGTTAAACTCTTGTTCGATATTTTTTTTTCTTTCAGTGTTGAATTGTTTGCATAGATATATGCCAGTTCTACGGGAAAAAAAAGAGAGACGACATTGTACTTATGTTGATAAACAAATGTTGTATCATCTATTCTCTGATTAAAAAAAAATCAATCACAAGTTTAAAAAGAAAGTTACAACAAAGAAAAGAAGAATGAAAGAAAATATGTAACCGATTTTAGGTTTACACATAGATAAAGATATGGACGATGGTGTATAAAAGATCACAGTGTTTACAACAATTTAGGCATGTCAGAGTCGTACATCATCATCATCATCATCATCATCATCATCACGATCATCATCAATAACATCTCGAAATCGTAGTTATTCATTACAGGACATGAGTTGAAAAATAAAAAGTCACATAAAAAATAACAAAATTTAAGTAGTAACTGAATGACTTTTTAGAAAAAAAAATGTTTGTGAAAATCTAGTTCATTTGTCATTGATAGAGAATTCAATGGATGTGTCTGTGTGTGTGTGTGTTTGTGGATGGATGAATTCATTCAACAGAAGAACATAACATTCTATTGTAGTTTTGAATAAATCGATGGTCTAAATTTATAATGAATAAATTTCAATATTAATATTGGTATACAACTGACACCAGTGATAGCTAATACTTTCCAAACAAATCCAATTGTTCTTAGAAATACTGAATCTGTAATTAATGAATAAAACAAATAAATATTGAAAGGATTACAAATGGTTACAATGATTGGAATAATCAAAATGAAACAGAATGTGTACAATCAGTAGGATGATGATGTTGAGGAGGAGGAGGAGGAGGATTTTAATCTGAACTAATCGATAATGGAATAGAAAAGAATGTTATGTTGTATTCAACCGGTGCTCTTTGGAATTTTTAATTCAATGCAGTCTTACTCTAGTATGGTATCCATTTGAAATAAACGTTCACTTATAACACAATAAACAAATAGTTTAAATTATTAATTAATTGAAAGTCATTTGTATGAGAGCTAACGTGATACTATTTGACTGCTTAGAATCAAATTAGTCATACAGATTGACTGAAAGTTAAGTGTTTTAAACGCTATCTTATTGCTACAAACAATCATCTTGTAATCGAGCATATAATTCCGTTAGAACGAATACATACTTCAAAGTAACTCAGTGATTCGATCTGTGACTGTGGTACTGAAGGACAATATCGACTTCGAATCAATATTACTGAGATACTGTGTTGATGGTTTTCATTACAGGAAAAAACAAGATAAAAGTTTGTATGGTGAATGTCATTTTAAATTAGTTATACGAAGAACTCGTATGGACTGAAATTCAGATGTATAATCGAAAGTCACTTGCTTGACATAGTAGATCACTTACTCCACTACATCCGTATTACCCTGTGTCACAGTCCTGTCTAACAACATCGATTGTATAAACTAACCTTAAAAATGTATAAGAAGTGTAGAGACTGTGTTTACAAGAGATCACTCATTGATAAAGTTGTCTGACTTGCAAACACTACGTAAGAGGTTCGAACTCAGTAACCGGATAGCATCATTAGCTCTCAAATTTAGACTGTATCTTAAAGTAAATCACATGAATTAGAATCTCGTATGAGTTGAGGGAACACAAATTTTAACCAGAGAGTTACAAAATGTAAATACGAATCCTCCACGAAGATTTGAACAATCATTTATTAGTGCATTACTTAAAATACTGCCTTTGGTTTAGTATAAGAAATTGTGTTTAGAGTAAGCAAGGGTAATTTTATGTGTGTAATAAAACGGTTTTTAGTCATTTATGTATACATGTCTACTGAAATTCACGGAATACATGGATAAGAACTAAAAACTTTGCTGAGTACAACAAACGAATTATTTTGTAGGATTAAATATCAAAATCTGATTATGATTCAAATGAATTAAACTTGAAAAAGTAGTGGGACTAAAGTATAGAGACAACCTTTAAGTAATTTCCAAAAACGCTATTGGATAAATCTCAACCATTTACCTGATTTGAAATAGGATTAAGTATAAGTGTAGTAGATTCAAAATTAGTCATTAGAGTTAGAAATCAAGTTTAAATGTTTCATAACAAAATGACATCAACTATAATGCAAGAACACTGTGTAGTCTCGATTGTTAAGCCCACAAATGCCCTGGTACGGCCGAGAGTGGAAAGAGTCAACTCTCCCTCACCAAATACTCACACATGGCCACACGCATACAATCACTTCCACGAAAGTCCTACTCACTCCCTTATCGCACCACGGGTGCTGTTTACGAAATTGAGAAGACGAAAAGCGAATGCCCGACGCTTTAACCGGGTTGGTGGACACAGAGGATTCACCTAGGTGAGTTGCAAAACCCTCATTCCACGATCCTTAAGGAACAAATTGCGTATGAAGCAATTATTGGTTACCGGTTACCATGTGACTACATCTCCTTACGTTGCTCCACTGCCTTGAGGACTAGACCTTTATGTCGAACGCTCCGGTTGTGACCCCATCTGTTTGAATTTGAGCCCCCAGATAGTATCACAGCCCGAATATGTATTCGGTGTCTCCTTATGCCAATATTTATGTGTTCAAATAGAAATAAATAAACAAATAATTGTGTAGCTACCATATGGATAGATGAATTTTGTGTACAAATTCAATAGGTACAAACTTGGAATTTGATTGATTTGTCCTGATAGTTTTAGTTAACAACAAGATAGTATAGTATATTCTAAAGTTTAAAAGTGTCTTATATATAATGTAACATAATTAGTTGACATTATACATATTAGACTAATGAAGTATTTATTCATTTACACAATTACATATTCAAAATATCATAACAGTAATAAATTAGGAAGAAAAATACACTGAAGACAAATACATTGATTCTTATTTAAACATTCCACTTGATACGTTTTTTGTGATCCCCTTATCTGATTCCAATCGGATCCTGTTATGAATGACTGTTGTCGAAATATATATCCTGACTATTCTAGTATAGAATTACCGACTTAAATCAAGTTAGTGAATAACGAGATCAAATAAATCCAATAAGAAGCCAGATCAACTCCATTTTTTCATTGTTCTATCGAAATATATCTGATTAATACATACATAATTTTTAAAAAAACGGGGGAAACGAAAGAAGTATACACTTACCAAAATATGCTTTCATGACAATCAAAGCCATTATATAAATTGCTAAACTGATAACTTCCGCTAAAATCATTAGAAGATGCCATGTACGTATGGTAATAGCTACCATAAGTAATTCTGTTAATAATAAAGCTGTAAATGTGATAGCTACTACATGAATGAATTCATCTTCGAAAAGTAACAATGCACCATACATGATAACACTACCTAAATAAATGAAATAATGAGAATAATTCAGTATGTGGTTATACAGATTGTTGAGTTTCATTGGAATTATGAACCCGATCTAAGTTAGACCACTATTGAAAACCTGGAAGCGCTGGATGATTATTTCCTCCTTGTATAGGACTCCACAAGAGTGAACATTTACAGTTCAGAACCCAGAACTTTCGATCTTTCAGTAGAGATATTTAACAAAGAAATTGTGAATGAGATAATTCAATGATGATTTATGAATGGTTATATCATATGAATCAAGGACTTTTTAATCGAAGTGAAAGGAACCATATCATTTAAATCTTACAACAAAATTTACGCGCAAAATAAGGATTCGCAAATATGTGTGCCGGGCTCTATGTTCATGATGTCCATCTGTCTATCATCTAAGTTAAAACATACACTTTAAAGGATTTCTACTTGCACTCTCTAGATATGATAGGAAGAATATTAAAATTAAAAATATGATGTTGTTGTCAGAAGAACCTTTATATTCCTCAACATAATACATCTCAGATCAGAATGAGGTGAAAGTTTCACAAAGAGTCAAACCGCTAAAAACAGGAAACGAAGTAGTGTTAAAATCAATATTGACAACTCTACAGTATAAACTTTCAGAAAATGAATGTGACGTTTTCAAAAACCATCCACTTCAGATAGTGTATAAATAATCAAGTTGAAAGATGTTCAAATCAATGAGTATACTCAACAATTGAGAACACAGAAAAATCCTTTTCCCTAAACGTTTAACAGCCTGCAAAACAAATCATTACTATGAGCACTGACATATTCTCATAAGGAGCATACTATGCTAAAATAAACCAACCTATTCAATTTACTATGAATCATAATAAACTTTACACATCATAATGAATAAACAAGGTGCTGTCAATGTATTCGAATATATATATATACTAACCTTGATAAACACTAATCAACTGCCAGATGAAATATGTTTTAAAAGTTAATTCACGACCTTTCTGTAAAGTTTTATATAATTCAGGGTAAGTTAGAGCAATACGATCCGGTACATCCTTATCAAGCACCAATGAAAATACAGGGAACATAGTGAACACTGTGGCATAACCAACATATAGAAAACTTGGGAATAACGGTATTGCAACAAAATAGAAAACGGCTGAAAATATCGCTTGCATGACTGTGATAATGGAACCTAAAATGAAAAGGAACAATGTTGTAGATGAAACTAGTAAGCTTCAAGATAAAATGAAAATGCTATTCGTTGACAAAATGTAACCATGTCCGAAACACGGTCGTTATTAGGGATGACAGGATTATAGTTAAGCTCTACAATAAACTGATGAGAGTTGAACATGTGGATTGTTAGATTATAACTCACTGCTGCACATCGCTATCGTAGTGAGATCTGAATGACCCTAAGTTCAGTCCTATGTCAATAATTACGAATAAGCACACACTGTCAGGCAATTCCGAAGTTAAGATCGATACTTCATCAAAATAAGACCGACATACTTATGTCCAGCGCTACCTGATTTTATTTATTCTTCAAATGACGTGGTTCTACAACTTAATATTAAATAACTCATATTACTTAATCCAATTAAGTAGCACAAGAGATAATTATGAATTTAAATGGTTGAAATCATGAGTCAGTCGAAGCTAGACCACCATGGAAAACCTGGAAGCACTGGATTTAGCAAGAGTTTGTTTCCCGATAAGAGGTGAACCAACTAAATGAGTGTTTTTTTAATGACCCAAACAGACCATTGTTAACTGAGTATAAGCAGTTAGAAAAAAACTACTTGATGACTGTAGGTAATATGAGCTAAAAGATAGAAAACCGTGATAATCAAATCATGATGCACCAAATAAATCCTAAGATCTGAATTTATCACAAGTTTGAGTATGAAATGGGTAAACTTAATCCTTGAGGTTATAAACAACACAACTAGAAAGGAAATAAAGCTATTGATTTTGGAAATGACTTTTTACGCAACTCCCTAAAACTACGGGTGTGGTTATCAATCCAAATACCAATTGTTTTCATATCTGGATTAATAAAACGTAACTCGTAACACAATCGGTGTGTAGTCAAATAAAGACTTAAGGGGGAAACTCTCTAATGAGCTCGCTTGTCTTGGCTAATATTAATCATTTAGGTATTACTGAAGATGAAATATCCAATATTAAACTATTTAATTTTACTCATTTATTTATCTGAACACATAAACAGTGGTAAAAGGGGGCCAGTAATATTGATCATTGATTTGTGTGAGGGCTTTGATACTGCCTGGGTGCCCAAACCGAAACACATGGTTTTCTTAGGGGGCCACACTCGGAGTCTTCGATGTAAAAGTCTGATCCACAAGGCAGTGGAACAACGTAGGGAGATCCATTCCTATGGTAGCCAGTGACGAATAATTATTTCATACACCATTTGTTCCCTCAGGATCCTGGAGCCCTAGAACACTGAACTGGCACCCAACGGTGTTAATGTCTGACTTCCACCAATCCACGATATTGCTCCAACGTCCACCATTGTCTTCATTGAGTAACTGCCTCACAAGAGACACGGTTGTGTGCCACTGGTCACAGCTTTTCACTAAAACTCCAGGAAATCTATCTTCAGGCCAGCTACTACGGAACACATGATAATAATCAGTATAGGGTTGTAAAGATTGTTGAGTTTAGATTGATAGTATGAATGGATTAATGTTAGACCACTGAAAATCTGGAATCACTGGACGGAGTGAGGGATCGTGGGAGCTCACTACTGAATAGTCCCATACTAGGACGAAACGGCCTTCCAGTGCTACCAAGTTTTCAAAGATGGTCTAACATTGATCCATTCATGATATCAATCCAAACTCAACAATCTTCACAACCCTATACTGATTATTTAAGTTAGACAAACATTGAAAATCTAATTATTACCAATCATTAACAACCCTAAAATCAATGATGTTACTACAGGAACACAGTAATAAACATAACCAGAAACATTGTTTGTTTTTAATGTATAATGTGTATTAAATATATTTTTATTAGATTACATTCATGAAAGAAAAACAAAACATACACTACCAAACAAATCGATCGTATTTTATTTCTTAAAGCCAAAAATATACTAGAAATATAATTTAGAAAACGATCTAAATTGTTGTTGTAAGTTAATACAGGAAGAAGAAGAAGAAGAAGGAGAAGAAGAAGAAGAAGAAGAAGAAGAAGAAGAAGAAGGAGAAGAAGAAGAAGAAGAAGAAGAAGAAGAAGAAGAAGGAGAAGAAGAAGAGGAAGAAGAAGAAGAAGAAGAAGAAGAAGAAGAAGAAGGAGAAGGAGAAGAAGAAGAAGAAGAAGAAGAAGAAGAAGAAGAAGAAGGAGAAGAAGAAGAAGAAGAAGAAGAAGGAGAAGAAGAAGAAGAAGAAGAAGAAGAAGAAGAAGAAGAAGAAGAAGGAATAAGATGAATGTTGTAGTTGAAAATACTCAATAAAAAAAACTGTAAAGCACAATGAATTAGTTATTAAACAGTTTAAAAGGAAAAAAAAACAGTATTAATTAATTAGAATTCATCGTTATGAAGAATTTGGAACATGTATATCGTTATCTAAATTGGTTCTCATTGCTTATAGTTTGTTAACTTTGTTATGTACTGCAAGGTCATTGAAGTTTGATGGAGTTTTGTTCTCTGAACTGGATGGTTTGGTCGTGGAGCTTTTCATCGTTCTTCTGAACAACATCATCAGCACAAACTTCAGGTAGAAGGGAAGTGGTTGAACTTCTCTACATGTGGTTCACATCTTGTCCTGTAGACCTCAATGTTGATTATTTGTTGTTGACCATTGGCAGGTTTAAGGTCAACATCCAGTTCAGAGAAAAAAAACTTGATCAAAATCATTCACCTGAGCTACAAATCTTCTCCACCATTTCAAGTTCATTGAATATTACCATAAAAACAGAGTTATTCACTTTCAAATTTGACTTTTGTAAAGAATATAAAGCGCTCTTGAAAGTCCTGTCTTCTCAATGATTAACGTGTGAATTATTAACATTGAAATATTGTTGTCTGACAAATGTCCGGTCTATTCGACTTTCTATTTGTCGAGTAGTTATATTAAAAACATTCTCGAGCGTTCATAATTAGAATTTACCATAGATTAATCTGAAACCCTAATGTTTTAATCGTTCCTGTTAAGATGTTAACAAGATACAAAATCATAATAATCATTAACTACTCCCACTACATCATCATTAAATAGACAAAAGCAAAGGTAAAAGTGACACAGAAGTCCCTTGGTTTTAATTCGCCGAGTATATTCAATTGTTAATTTTATAAGTATAACAAATGCAAACTAAAACAACTCAAAATAACACTCAGTTACTTTGAGCATACAAAAGCCACCTTTCAGTTGAACTATTCTAAGGATTATTCTACCTCAATAATACCAATATAAACAATATTCAATGAATCGGTAATAGAAGCCGATTGTCTGAGTGCATCCAGTTCAGGTTATTCTATTGCAAGAAAGCTTCAGTAACTTACTCAATCACAGACAACGTTAATTCACAAACATACAAACACATTATTATTCAAACATTCTCCTCAGCTAGTTACTATTACATATATAAGTACATACATATAGGTATAGAATACTTACCTCGATGAATAACAAACAAGGCCAATGCAGCAGTATTTTTATAACAATTCCTTCCATGAACAAGTAACAATTGTGTAACATGTTTAAATTGTGCTAAACTGAAATCAGATGCTAGACTAGCCTGTCGACCTTCTTTACCTAAAAGACCAAGACCAAGATCAGATGCTTGAATCATGCCAACATCATTGCCTCCATCACCGATAGCTGCTACTCTTGCTTTTGTATGATATCTTAATAAAGTGACAATTTGTGTTTTCTGTGTCGGTGAACAACGGCATACAACTACAGCCGGTGATTGTCTTGCCAATTCAACAAATTCATGTTCATAAAATCTTAAGCATGTCTTATACACAGAAAAAAAAACACAAAAAACATGATAACTACGGTCAATATCAGTAAATTTATATAATACACATGTGTGTAAATCAAATAGACATATATATCACTAAGAGAAAATATAGTGTATATAAGAGTTATTATTATATTATTAGACAAAAATGGTCACTATGCCTTTCCGACAGTTACAAATAAAACAGGGTTAAATTCATGTTATCACAACAACAAAAATGCAATAACTAAAACCCACCGATTATCTAACATTGTTTGCATTAAGTTTAAAAAATTGTGAAATATTCAAGTCTATTGCTTGTATCGTTTTATACTATATTCATAGTAAATCATCATTACTGGAAACTAACTACAAAACCTGAAGAAGTATGTATATTCCTTATAAGTGCCCAACTTGTAAGGGTTGAGAAAAATGTTGATAAACTTCAGACAGAAAGTGATTTACTTTGAAAATAAAGACATACCAACCAACCCCCCATTAGTAAAAGAGACATGTTTTATTACTTATTGATTTATTTATTTGAACACATAAACAATGCACCACACAGTAACAATGAGGCCAGTTAGTAGTTATCATTGTTGTGTGTGAGGGCTGTGATATTGACCGAGTGCCCAAACCGAAGCAGCCATTACAGATTTCAAATATCGAATTTCGAATAATAAACTACAGGTTGGAAATTGATTTCGTGTAATTCAATTTGAACAATACAACAATACAACAAATGACTATCATCAGACGCATAACACTAGATGAGGTGTACCATGGTATTCACGTAATCAGTTCAGTTGCTATTATGTAATTTTTGTAGACAAAATGAATACATTAACAAGCATAAAATGACTACTACACGACAAGCAATATTTTATTCACATTTTCCAGCTATTTTAAGTATGCCATTAGAGAAACGATATATAACTGGGACAACATATAAAATTGTCGTGAGATATGTAATGTGGGTAGCTAGTGGTTAGTCAGAACAAGGATGTCACAATGAATAGCTATCTAGAACTAAGACTGAGGTACTTGTGTTCCAGATGTTACCACGTATGTTTATTACTGCTTTCGTTAACTAAAAAACTATGCAATCATGAGGGATAATATACTGATTGTACAAACAAACAATGTGCTCGGTTTATAAAAATCACAATAACTTGTGAAAACAATAAATAATATATACGTGAGATAGTGAGAAAACAAATTTACTTACTTCCATTGATGTTCCAGTTATCAATAAGGCATGATCACAACGTTTACGAAAAGCGTTCAATTCTAAATGAGCTTCCATTCGACCACTAACTGATTTAAATATATACATAGGTGTATCACGACTGACTAAACGAGAAGATTTAGCGATACATGCAGCTGTTTCAAGTTTATCCCCAGTCAACATCCAAACACGTATACCAGCATTTCTTAATGCTTCTAATGCAGGACGAACCTAAATATTTTTTAGAAAGAAAAACAAAATATACAATCGAATAGAATGGAGACACTACAAAAGTATATTGTGGATGTTATTATCAGTCAGGTGTAATGTAGAAACTGGCACATATCTGCATTGGTTCAAGTTTCCATATCACATTAGTACACCGAGATAAATGATTATCAAGGCAAATACCTGAGTAGAAAAAGTACTAGCAATATAAAGTCAAGTGCTACTTGGCACAAAAGTTTACGAAACATATACAGAAAAGCTTCTTAACAGAATAATCAGAAATAATAACTAAGTTAATCGACTATTCATATACTTAGGCATTATTTGTAACACAACTCTATTGCTTAACTACTAACTTTCCAACACAGGATCTGGGTTTTGAGGCCTGTCTCATTACATTTTGAGTTTGAAATATTAGGTAATACTGTTGTGAAGGAGAACACAGGTGAGGACAACCGGCTGTATTTAGCACAAAAATTACAGACTATCTCAATAAAATCTGAATACCGTAAAGTCAATCGTCAATTTGCAAAATATCAATGCATCATATCAAACTGGACTGTTTTCCGTTGCAATCACCAATCCCATTCCATTGTTCATGCGTTTTCTTACAAATTCCATTGTGTTCTCGCTCTTCCTTTCTTGATCTTCCCCTCATCTTCTGCTGCCAGACATTACGTTTAAATTCGCGTGATATACTACTTATAACAATATAAGTAGCACACACCACAATACTAGTTCAGCAATAATCACGGGGAGAGAGAGTAGAATATGCAGTGGACAGTGTTAATTCAGTCAGATACTTGCATGGACCCTAATGCAGATAAGATCTGTACATCACAAACAACATAGATGAATGCAGAGCAAATACTTATGAGAAGTTGATTATCTAAAAGCAACCCTTGAAGTTACAATGAAATCAATCCCTACATTTCAAAAGAACTCTGTGATCTATAACAATTCAACCCAGATTATACTTCCATCTAAACATTTATATCTTGAGTTCAAACGTAGAGCAACCGATTAGGTGAGATAAATTTTGCTTCGGTTCGAATCGAGGCGAAAGATAAAAATATTACTAGGACGAAATCACAAGGAATAAAAATGTATATCGTCGTCTAGTACTAAGAAGGCGAATTTCTAAACAACTAATACAAAGTTCCATTTGAAAGTCCTATACATTGTACAAGAGTGAGCTAAGTTTCCTAGGCACAGTTCATTCACCAGCTACCCAGACGCGCGATGTTAGAGAGTGTAAGAGAAGATTGGAAGAAAGCTAGGGGTGATCGAACCAAAACATTGCATACGTCCATGAAAACACTGACTGTAGGTAGGTACAGACTATCTAGTTGTGATCCGCATGATTATCGCAACCAATAGTTAAAGACTTTAAATGGAATGGCTAAAAATCTATCGCAATAGTCCAGATGCATCCATCCTAAGTTTCTAAATTTCTCGTAAAATTTCCTTTATTATCTGATTAGTTCATATTTTCTCCTCAAATTGTTTTTTAGATGCCTAGTCTTTTTTATTACCACTGAGAATTTATTATTATTATTATTATTATTACTATTACTAGTACTACTACTACTGGATTTTCCCTGACGATTTCATCTCTGTGCCAATAGAGGGTATGGGAACTTGAACTGACGTACACATATACCAGGTTCTGCTTTGTGTATAACTGACTAACCATATATCTATTCTACTACCATAAAGAACAACATCTGAATAGAAAAAAAACTTGTGCACCCATATAACCTTATTATTATGTTTAACTACTGATGTTGATCTAAAAGTTGTAAATAAAACCCGTGTAGTTTTAACTCCATAGTAATAAAACTTGAAATTAACACGTCCGGAGTTCACGCTCACTACACTATAGTTTGAAGAATTTTAATATGTATTATATATACAGTGAAATATTTGACATGAACAGTTTACTTCCTATCAACTTACTCCATCTTGAAGTTTATCTTCTACTCCTGTTAAACAGAGAACTTCTAAATTTGTTTCTAAAGTTGCTACAACTGACTGCATTTTTTCGACACGATCAGTTAAAGACATTTTAGCGCTATGGTATCTACATGTGAAAAAAAAGAAAACAAGCAATTCAGAAATAAAGTAAAATACAGGGAATGTAAACTGATACTAAGCAAAACATGGTAATGGAAATTCTTGCATGAACTGATTCATAGTACACACATTTAGATTGTGTACAACAGTGGTCTTGATTGCTGTTATAAGTATGAGGGCGGTTATCACATCACCGTTTCCCACACCGTGGAAAGGTTGTTCTGGAGGTACATGAAAAGGAAATTGGATTAGAGGTGGTCTTAGTAACCTGAAAGCGTGACCGCAGTGCCCAAGGGACAACTGCCTGAGGCCGGTCACACACGACCATTTTGTGGGTAATTTCCGTGTCAGCTCCGTACATGTCGAGACCTTACCGCCGAAGACGGATATCTGTGGGATAAGGCGAGGTGTGCATTTTTAGGGTCGACCTTTTCTAACCCCACCCCTCCTTGTGGGAAGGCAGCATCGCTGTCATGCTGGAAGCACCTTACTGCCGTCACACCTCTGTACAGTCAACAGTACGACTTCGACTTCGGACCTTAGGTTTGTTGCTTTTAGTCTTACCGCTCTTTAACCGACCTGTCTGGCATGGTAAGGTTAGTCTACCTAGGGAAATTGGAAAACCCTAATTATAGACTACCAGTATATCTTAAGATCTTAATATGGTGGTTGCCAGCTGCCAAATACTAAAATGAGCTACTTACAACACTTGCTATCGCACTATTAGTAAACATAAATCGGTAGTGGTTGAATTTACAAGAGCAATAGCAGTACAGATAGATATTATAGTATATATTACCGCATGAAACAAGCACATGAAAATATGTAATTTTAAATATATGTGAAATATAAAATGAAAAACAATGAACACTAGAAATATATATGTGTACCGTTGTGCGAAATCTGAGTATTGTTCTTCAGTTAAAGTACGCGAAGCGACAACCAATGTTCGTAATCCTTCTCTAGCCAAATTACCAGCTTCATCTTCTAACCAATCCACATAGGATACAAGACTACTCATAACAGTATCTGCACCTTTAACATAAAATATTATTCTTTTGGATGAATAATCACGTACAATAATACCCATTCGTTTAGATTCCGATGAAAATGGAAATAAATTCAAGATTTCATACTCAACAAAAGAGTCTGAAGAAAAGAAAACGTAAAACATTTAGGACAATATATTGATAATTAGGTTTAGTAGGTTAATTAAATTATCAATTAGTATGAATATGTCATAAATGTAATAGAAGAGAGAACATACCATTAGGTAGACGTAATCGCATTCTGTGCAAGTCACGAAACACAAGTGTTACACCAACAGTTGCAGTCCATGAAACAAGAGCTACTTCATCAGGTGAACTAGCTTGATAACCAATTGGATCAGATAATTCTACCTAGAAAATTATGAATACACCCAATATATAATGTGTTGTTTATAAAGGGCCAGATAAAAACAATACGCAGTTCTATCTTGGCACATGTTATTGATAGCGGTCATACTGTAGATAAACCGAAATCATTACGAGTGACCTATCGTATAGCTCCATCATTTCCCAACGGAGTTCGTTCCCACCTCCTACATATAGTTGAAGCCATAGGAATTCGTATATATAACTCCAATTTATGCGTACAGAAGAGATTCGTAACCCCCCTACCCCTTCCATGACCAGTTCTAACTTAACTAACGATTTTTTAAATTTTTATTACTATTATTAATTTATTTTATTCTATTTTTGTTATCATTAACCTTGTTTTCACATCTAGTATTTGTTTGTAATTTTCCGCCTCTTTCCGTTTGTATTCTTCACTATCTAATTAGTTACACACTTCTTATTACATAATGATTTTAATGTTTTGTGATGACTATTCCAAGTCTATTTACCCACGTTTGACCTTCTATTTCCAACGTTTAGCTATTGATAAGACTTTTGTCATCATATTTTATTATTTTAAACAGTTGGGATCATGAGTCAATTGAAGCTAGACCGTTTCGTCCTGTTGTGGGACTCCTCAGCAGTGCATATCCACGACCCCGCCTAGCGGGATTCGAACCCAGGGCCTGTCAGTCTCGCACCAGGCGCCTAACTAACTAGACCACCGAGCGGGCATCCAACGGTGTTAATGTCTAATTCCAACCAATTCACGAAGTTGCGCCACCGTACATCATTGTCTCCAGTGAGTTTCAACACAACATACATAGTTTATAGCCTATTACTACATAAAGATTTAATTTTCGGGTTGATAAATATACGTTCAATTGATTGTTCTCAATTAATTACAACACGTTGAGATGTAAAATTACTTGAATTTGTATGACATTCACATACATATTTGGCTTTATAATTCCAAGAATTCTATCGTCGTTACAGACAAAAACATCATTATGCTCTACTTTAATACAAAACCAGTTTAAATGTGTTTACCTGAACAAAAAACTTTCAACAACATCCTAAAGAGTTATAAATCACCGAATCTACAACATGTAAGAATTAGGTATAACAACAGAATTAAAAATGGATGCTTTGTTTCAACCAGTTTCAATGCCTTCACTGAAATTGCAATCCAACACCTGTCACTTTGATTGACAGAGGAGTATTCACTTAAAAATATCAATCTCTTGATTAACGGATACTAATCAAAATTAGAGTGTACATTTTAAAGTTGACTTCCTTCTGGATTAAACTTACTAACCCCGAAGTATAAGGAATGTTTATGGACTAGAAGATCATATTCTACCTTTCGAATCAATAGGCATGCAGTGTGAGGCTGACTGAGACTCGTGTATATCTAACTGAACGAACAGATAGTACAGCGAGATTGATGATTTCACCATAAAATAAAAACAAGATATGACTGCAAGTAATGAATGGAGTCAATATTGTCAAAGACGGATCACTTTAGGTCTTAAAAACGTCCAAGCCCTATTAAAATGTGCAACTAATCTAATCTGTTCCAAGGATCACTCTTCAAATTTCGTGGGGAAAAAAAAGATCGGTCATTAACAGCACAGTATTTCGGTTCGATCGATAAAATAAAAATGAACGGTTCTGAATTCTATTTAATCGTACATTACTTACCATAGCCATAGCTTCTTTACTCTCTCCACCTGGTACATCAATTGATCCAGGATTTGAATAAGTTTCTGTCATCGGTGTAACATTATGACATATAGCTAAGGCTAATACTGCATCAGCCATACGTTCATTGGTTGTACGACGAATTTGACGAGTTAATTGGTCTGATAAATTACCGATTGTGGAACCAGCAGTGAAATGATTACGCAATCCTTGGACAACCTCTTCCATGGAATCTGATGCAAAAGCTACACTGCCTAAATGTAGCTTTTTAAAAACCATTTCATTTTGTGTAAGTGTACCAGTTTTATCTGACATTAAATAACAAATACGACCCAATTCTTCAGGTATATTAGTATTACGAACAAGGCAGTTTGGTAGGGATTTGTCGCGCATTATCATAAAAGAGTATACGATTTTTGCCAAATCCATATTAACACGCAATCTGGAAGAATTAAAGATTTCATAATAACAATAATAATAATGAACGATGGATTCTTTACAGCAAAATAAAGCCTCACAAATAAAAATTATACCACCAATGAGTTGTTCTGGAACGTAAACACTTTGACAAACACCTAGTATGGAATCACCTAAGAACCATTTTCAATTAAATTTGGGATACACCATCAGTAGAGTTAACCTAAGCTAGAATATATATATATATATATATATATAAATTCACCGCATTGCACGAGCAAGTGGTTATCAGGACTCAGTAGCTAAGTGAATAACGCGATGGCGTTTGAAGTAGAAAGTACTGGGTTCGAGTCCAGGAGTGAACATTAACTCCGGGATGAAGGTACATCCTGATGACGAGTCCCAAGTAGGACGAAACACGCTCCTGGATACTACTGCTAGCCACCGAACATATTTATGTAACGTCAGCCGGTTGAAGTTAAATGTTTTCAAACATTCAAAGAAAAAGACCCGCTCGTGAAAAAAAGTCCAAAAGAATCGAAATGGTTTCACAGTCGATGTGAGTACGCGATATTTAGAAAAAACAACCTTGATAAATCTAAACTGTCCGGCATTATCAAGCATCACTTCCTTTTACATTACCTTTGATTTCGTTGACCGTCATCGCGCACGAATATATCGTGGACAATCAAGTTTTCTTCGCTTATTACTGTATTAGGGTGATATTGAGATGACTTACCGAGGATCTATGAATATAGTGAGAGCTTCAGAATCTCACTAGACTTCCTTAACAAATAAAGTAACATTGTCGTGCTACCCCCTGACTCGTGAACAACCTATGTCACATTTAACTGGTTGGCCATAAGTTCTTCTGTTGTCTCCAAAGGATTGCTCACATATGGTAGTAACACCATGTAAGTGATTCTGATGTCTGGCAATCTATACTTAAGCAGTATCGATAAGCTGACTAGTCTCATCGCCTCGAAACACAATCTACGAAGAATTACACATGTTTCACGAACATCCACTTGCGTACGCCTTAACTTCATGAAAAAAGGGGAGAAGTTATCATAGAATGAAGGATGGTTGTCGGACTAGGACCCGCTGATTCGTTCCTTATTAATGTCCAACTGCAGTCAAAAATATTACACAACTAAGTAGCGTGAGACTTTACCTGATATGGCTCAGAACAGAAGCGAGTAACGATCTCATTGTATATTTCTACTGCATTTATCTTAAAAATAGGATGCATCCTACAACTGAATGGGATCTAATTTGTTTTATGGTTTAATTAGACTGTTCTCTTGAATTAACACCATTTTTCACTCCTATATTTATCGATCTTCGCCTCTTCTCTATTTCTTCACAATGTTATCACTCTACCTTTATGTTCCAAGACTGTATTGATGTACAAATTTATCAAACTTTCTATGTCATGAATAAAATTCTATTTATTATTTATTTAAACACATAAACATAGGTACAAGAAGGCACCAGATAGATATGCGCCACATAAATCATTCGGTTTGTGTGAGGGCTGGGTGCCCAAACCGAAACAGGTGTTGTTCTTAGAGGCCACACCCAAAGCCTTCGACCTATAGATCTAGTCCATAAGGCAGTGGAGCAACGTCAGGAGATGCAGTCCCACTGTAACCGGTGACCAACAGCTGGTTCATACACCATTTGGTCCCTCAAGATCCTGGGGCCCAACTCTCCTAGGTAGATACTCCATGTCCACCAACCCGGTTAAAGCGCCGGATATTCGCTTCTCGACTTCTTAATTTCGTAAACAACACCCCTGCCACGAGAAGGCGGTGAGAAGGACTTCCCTGACAGTGGTTGTATGCATGTGGCCATGTGAGAGCATTTAGAGAGGGAGAGTTGACTCTTTCCACTCTCGGCCGTACAAAGGCATTCGGGGTAATTATGGAATTCTATAAAATGTATTTTAAAATTAAGAAAACTTGTGCACAAAAAAATAATTCATGCAAGTACAAAATGTTTATCTAAAAGAAAGAAAACACTTACGCCAGAGGAATAATGTAAGAGAATAAAACAACAAAACGCCACCAATACTTATACCAAGATCCACTGAAACCTTTCAGTGCAACCATGATAAGAGCCAGAAGTACTAGGATACAGAATAAGAGTTTTGTGATATTGTTAATCTCTTGATCGATTTTCCCACGTTTTGTGCGGACTCTACTTGAATTCATTACTGCACGTGTTTCTGATCCTGTGTATATGACCAAGCCAATAGCACTTCCAGTAGCTAGTACAGTGTTGGACCAGAGTGTGTGATCAATATTTAATGAAACTTCTGATGCTTCAGAATCTGTTGGTGAAGTAGGATTGACATCTGTACGAACGAACGTTCCTTCGAAATTATGTATACTCTGTCTCGGCGCTTCAGCATAAACTTGAGCCTGAATAGTACACAAGAAATAGGAAAATATGAATACAGGACATTGAATATTGGGCAGTAGTACATGAAGTAAGGCTTTCCCCCTATCTATATAATTTGAAAAACAGATTAGTGGAAATTCAAGAAATCAACTCCATAAACAAAGACAAGCTTAACATGTCATTATCTTCTTAAATAAGATAGTTGGTGACAGTTAAATTCTGTCATACACCATCTATCTAAGAATTAAAATCCTACCAGAATGTTAAACGACTTAAAATAGTTTCTATCCCATTATACATAAATAACAAGCTAAAATATTTCTCTATAGTTCCCTTCACTTCAAATTTATCAAATTCTTGATGTTGATTAGGAATTTCTTGAAAACCGGTAACATTCTATTATCGACTAGTCTATATGAATGGTTGTTTTTCATGTAATTAGATTGATGTGACTTTAGAAACAAAAAATAAAATAAAATGAGAATTCGGTAAAGAGTTAGTAATAAATGTATTGTTTGTTATGTCCCAATGAGTAGAAAAATTGTATTTCTGACGTTTCGTGACTTAATGTAAGCCACTTCTTCAGAGAAATACAATTCTTCTACTCATTGGTACATAACAAAAAAGTGATGTTCGAGGCTCAGTTGCTATAACCAATCGAATAAATTTTCCTATGGAGGAACCTAGTGAGTGGTCTTGAAGTGTAGTAAAAAAACAGATATAAGTATTATTGCCTACTTATTACTTAACCTCTTCCATGAGAACAAGCCATTAAGTGACTATAAAAAAGTTATTCATTCCACAGTGAAGGGTCAGATTTTTGTGAAATGATCGTGCATAAATACAAATGTCAGTCATGTTTTTAATATAACGATGACGTCAAAAGTAAAGAATTACACACGAGTCTATAGAAGCAACGAACTAATAAACAGTTTAAATTGGAGTCAACCATGGCAACTTTTGGTTAACAACTGATAGCCAATCTTAAATCAAGACTCTTTCAAATAAAGCGATAATACATCTAATTAAGAACTGTGCCAGTTAAAACGTCAAGCGAAGTTGGTAGTTTTGTAATCCAGGATCATGAAACAACACATAATAATGAATGAAAATCGTACATATATTTTATTTTCAAGTACCCAACTCATGATTTATCCCATGCAATCTCATGATTAACTAAACTCAACACTCGACAGCATTTGTTCTGGAACTATTACAAATGATCAGTACAAACACAAATACTTCATCATTAATAGCATTATTGTGATTTTTCGTTGAGCATACTGGGACACCGGTTTCAGTTGTCACAGTAAATATATCAATCTAATTAACTAATGAACAAGATTCAAACAACTGATCTGTAGCCTTTGCTACTTATCAAGCTTCACCAACAGTGTGTGAAATAATGATTTATGCACAGTTAGTCAAATAAGGTACACGAAAGAACAACAAGATACAAACTTATAGTTCGTATAAATCAGTAAAAACAAAAGGAAGAACCTCTCTATTTCTCAACAAACAATTTAAAATCATCATCATTAAAGCTGGAATAAATAGGTTAGCTGAGTGTGTTTAGAATTTATTGGGCAATAAGGAGTATGGAAGTATTATTCTACTATCAGTTTTGTTGTATCAATTATTTAGGTCCTTTTTTCTTCCGAAACTTACGAACACTGTTAATTTCAAATGATAAATTTGAACTGACAGAGAAAAGTCAATACACTTACTTCCATATCCCACAATGAACTTGGATGACCAGTACGGCTGACAAAAGCATGTGTAGTTGGTATAGCATAACGTAATTTCCAGTCAGTCTCACCGTCAAGTTGATCTGTCCGTATAAAACAAGAACCATTTCGATCTGATGTCCATATTAAGATCATATCTGCTGGAACTCGTTGATTCTTCTCTAAACGAATAAGATCACCAACCTATTATAACCGAAAAACGAATACTAACTGTGAAACACTAAATTCAGAGCACAAGTATTAAATACATTAAACTTAACCAACAGAAAGATACCAGGTTAATTTGGTAACAAGCACAAAACAAGTACGTTGTGATATAGAAAAATTGTGAATTAAGATTTTTAAAAATGTTAATTAAAAAAAAATACAGTTACTTTCACGGTTCTCGACATTCCTAACAATTAATGGTTGTTTAGATAAGGTTTCCGAGGCTATGAAACATAGAGGGCTGTACGAAGTAAAACTATGGATTTGTAAGGAACAGGAAGAAAGGTCATTTATTCAATAAATAACGAAAATAGAATAGTGTTTATTAGAAACCGAGTTTGGGTGGAAAAAGTAGATGAAACAAATTTAGATCAGTTACAGGTTGCAATTTACCTTTATAAAGAAAAATGAAGCGTAACAATCCAAAAGTCTGAGTTATCTCCGAACCTTTGCTGAGTTAGGTGGGTCATTGGTCGTCACCTATTGAAGGGCTTAGGATAGTCTTGTTAATTTTTCTGAGGCGGAGTCAGTTGGACTTCTGCCCAACTCACAGTAATCTATTTAGGATGACGAACCTGTTGGCCACGAGGACATATGAGTTCAGTGCATACTATGGTACGATTAGAATCCTGAAATGCTTTCCAAAGGGAATAGTAGTCTTTTGCATATTTGTGCAGTCGGTAGACAACTACAACACAACCACTCGAACTACAGGGTCAAAGTATCAGGTAACAAATTGGAGATGATTTTGTCGAAAGTCAGTACTGGTTTTAAAAAATGAGTTGCGATTTAAGCAAAGCTGAAAACAGTTCCTATTATTTAACCTGAGATTAGTAAGTGAAAACTCATGACCCAAAACATCCCCTTTTGAGTTTAAACGTGCATCTAGGCAATTAGGTCCTCAGGTTGCAAAGCAACATCTGTCAAGTGCGTCTTGTTGAGGATTTCATTTATTTGACAGCAGAATTCATCATTTGCCTCATCTAAGCAGCCCTCTGACGGTGCATAGACAGAGACTAGGAAAAAACGTTTTTCAAGCCGGTTTCTTTGGTCTCTGATTGAACTATCTAGCCTAACAACCCAAAAAACAACTGTTAACGTGAATACAACCAAGTGTTCTCTCCATTTTGACAAGGTTGAACACCAGTCACAGGATTTATAGATAAGTACATGGAGAACCTGTTTTTAAATCGATAAATGGAACAGAAATTTACGATGGTTGGTTGGAGCCCAAATTAAGTTTTAGAGATAAAGTATACGTCGATAGTGAGACATTATAGCGTTTAAGCAAACGCCCTCTAGTACCCAATCTATATCAACAAGCAAAAAACTAGGGCGAGAAGTTTAAAAGGTACATATCTTTTCACAATACATATATCAGACATCGTAGTCAGTAATAGCTTCCAGACAGCAAACATTCAATGAAATAAAACCGTTTGGGATTGGAACAATTTTCAAAAGAAATTATCTGATATATTAAAGAGTATAATTAGTGTAGAAATAAGTAGAACTCAAATGAAAATAAAACGGAGTAGCGAGTAAGTGATGAAAAATAAATGTGGGTATAATAAATTCACTATGACTTTTATCACTAGTGAGTCTTAGTGTGCAACGTGACCACATCATTAGCATCATTGGTAATTATTACTAACTGTGTGAAGGCTTTGATAATAGGTACCTAAACCGACAGAGGTGGTTTCCTTAAGTCACAACGCTTCAAACAAGTTTCCGATCTTATGGTCTGATGCACAAGATGTCTGGCAATATCGAGACGCAATCCCGCGGTGCCCCGTGACTAGAGTAGTTCTGTACAGCATTCATCGCCATATGATCCTTTAGTCTGCGAGGACCATTGGTTCAGAATCAAGATTCTCTAACTTCGTTAGATTGACTTACTGCATCTACGTCTCCAGTGCAGTCTTTGGGCGACGGCTCTCACTTTTGTAAAGACAACCCGCTAAGGGAAGACAATGAGTAGGGTCTCTTTAAGAGTCGTTTTGAGTAGTGTGGGTCAACCAAAGTTCCAGTATTACTATGAGTTATATACACTGACGGATTATGAAAAGTTGGTTTGCAGTGGTCGTACACTTGGGATTACAAGTGTTTTAATTAGCACAACTCAATACACAATTCAATACAATGTTCAAGAAGGCTTACTTTGATATCTGAACTCATAACGGAAACTTCTTTGTTGCGGACATACTTTCCATAGATAGCCATATTGACATCGCGATCACGAGACCATCTTCCAATGTCATCTACCGCTTCTCGAATCATGGTTATTGCAATCACAAAACCAAGTGGCCCCCAATATGTGTACAGACGACCCACACCAAGTTCGGGAATAAATTGACTACATGCAATTACAAGGAAGACGAGATTTAAAAATACACTGAACTGTTCAAAAAGAACCTGAAAAGTACAAACAAATGAAGCACATAGATTCGCTATTAACAATTAGTGAAAACACGAAAACCACAGAAGTAACAGCCTATAAATTTGTAACTATGTTGTACAAATAGTAAACCCATACCAAACAAGCTTTCAGATATGAACAAATAAATTTTCAGGATATCCTCAAACAGCAATTCAGTACTATTGGTAGTCACCAATCTGGTGTATATGAAACCTTACAAACATTCTTATTTCCCAAGTGGTTCAAAACTGTGTTGTGTATCGTAGTGTATCCTTGGTTTCAGGATGATTCCTAATAAGTTTATGTGAATGTGTAAGTCTCCCATCACAACATTAAGCGGTTTAGGACTAAATCTCACAAAAAATATAGTTTGCTGAAACATTGGCTACAGATTAATAACGAGTAAAAACAATTTTAATTAACAATTATTAGGTTCTCCGCTTGCTGCACCTACAATCTTTCGGAACGCAGCAACTGAAACAAAGGCTCTTTAAGTAGAGTTAACATGGATTAGTCAAACTATACCCGTGAAATAATTCCCTTAACTACTACTTATCGATTAATTCTTCTAAATCAGAGTAATTTCAAAATATACAGTTAAAGGCATTTATAAACAAATAGAGTATAAAAACACCGTATTAAGAACTAGTAGCCAAAAATAAAGAGTACTTTTAAATTTGATTCATAATAGTGCTGATGAGCATAGTCCCTAACAAAACCAATAGACCGTCACAAATTCTCCTTATCTATACTGTATAGGGATAAACTCATACTCACCTTTGAGTCAACCTAAGTATGATAGTCACTGATACCCCCGGACTTCCCGAACCGAAGTAACGGTGCATAGTTCGTATCAACAACCCGGTTGACAGTCAAGCGGCTTAATTACTAGGCCACAGCTCAACATACCCATTATCTACAATATAACTTTAATAAGAAAATTACACTTGAAAAACTGTTTATGATATTTCTAAGCTAATGGTGTAAATGAACCACACTGAAGTATAAATCGATCTAGTTAACTGGTAATTATCAGGATTCAAATTGGAGATGCTCTACCGTTATGTAAGTAGAATTAGTACCAAAGGTTAAATGAGCACTAATTCAAAATCTAGTCAACTTTAAAACGTAACTGCTACACTCACCAAAGGAATGAAACTTATTACATTATACTTTTGATTATTGATCCGATTCGAAGGAAATTTCTGAGTCTTCGATGGTCTACCAACATTAACTACACGAGCATGGTAAACTTTTGGACCTCGACAATTTCGACAACAACTAATGCAACTGAAATAATATGAAAAGTTACTAAGCAATCGATCAAATGCAGTGTAATAAGATAAAAGAAAGTGATATAAATAATGGTGGAAGCTGTTATAAGACTGATTAACACTAAACGGTGACATATCATATTATATAAATGTGATCAACGTCAATAAATACTATCACCGAACCTGATGGGTTTTGTACAGATGGGTATAGTTACGAGTAGCTGAGATGCATATCAGTATAGTGACAGGGACATTTAGAAAGCTGGACAGTAAACACAATAACAAAGCCTGTCAGTCAACCGATTCAAACACAGACTTTAGTTTTAAAAAATAGTACCGTGATCTGGTATCGATATGACAATATTCTAAAGCCCATAATGTTAGCATCTGTTATGTGCATCATAATTCAATAGTGTTCCGCTAATCCAACTGTCCCATTCACAGTCCCAGTTAACTGGTATGAGAGCAGGCTACAGCTTCATCTTCTCTAGTAACAGTTTCCTGGCACGAACTACCACCGAAACAAAATTTACGTAGTGGGAACAATAGTTATCAACCTACTCAACCTTAATCCTACAAATACATCTAAAATATGGATGGGGCGGCAACGACCACTAGTGCAAGAAAGAATCTGCAGCGGATGCAAACAACTCTTGTTACGAATTGTGGTTTTTGTGTACTTTCCTGAATATTAGTCTTAAGATTGATCCTGAACGCAAGACACTGAAAATTGTTTTAAAACGCATAAATGACAGAAACTTGAAGTTTCTTAAAGCTATTCTGCATCAGACAATTGAAAAAAGTAGTGCTACCCTCCCTAATAACTTCAACTTCAGGAAGGAATTCCATGCTTCTAAGCTTTGTATTATACGACAAAAAGCCTACATAAATCACGATCAATTTATAATATGAATCGTTTAAAATGTTCAAGCGAAGTAGCAAGTGAGGGTGGTCATATTATTCATAAGCTAACCTTGAAGAACAGGTAGAACATTTACGGTGCCGCTCGGACTCATTATCTGAATCCAACAAGCTGTCTGATGAACCAGTTGCCATAGTTAACCAAGCACTCAAAACACCCGCGCTTGAGAGGAAATATCCGTCACTATTAAATCAATATACGCACTATATAAGAGTCGAGCAATTATAGACTGTCTAGTTTCGTTATTCTTGCTTTTTTATGTGACAATAGAGTTCTGTAGCACAGTTTGATAAAGTAAACTATGATCAGGTAACTTCCCTTTCTATAGCTAGTGGAATGATTCAGTTATGCTTGTCAGTCGGTTATAATTAATATAGAGCCTAATACACACGCATAACCCGACACTGCCATGCCAGAAGTGGAATAGTCGGGATCAAAATCAAAGAAAATGGCATTGTTTATCAGCAACCACATAAGAATGACTAAATATAGAGACATAAGAACAGTTTTGGACGCCGAGTTAATGTGAGACACTTTAAAGAATAAGAATACATTTTTCAAATCTAAGCGGATAGATTTGTAGTAAATCCATCGTTTTACTTGACAATATGATCTAAACTTTCTCAAAGAAATATAATCAAACATCGAAACCATTGAATAGTAAAGAGGTTGTAGCAGTATACAAATCCCTAAAACAAATTGTTCTGCAGGTCTTCCACATTTGATGCTGACCACATTAGTCTTAATGAACCCGCTTAACTGAAGGTGTTTGGTCATGCATCCGCACCAGATCACGAGCAGGTAGGCTGTGCTCAACTGCTGCAACCGCTAATCAGCTCAGATCAGTCACTTCATGACAAATTAATAGCCTATCAAATATATCTCCGAACCATTTCGCTTCGGACTTATGATTTCACTGGGTTGACAAATTTTGATTATAGGTGTTACTGGTTAAAGTTGTACTGACTTACTTTTATCACGAGAACACGATTGGTTTAATGAAAACAATTATTATTATTGTGACCAACTGTACCTGTGCTTGTTTTGATGTGCTCTTTGTTTAACTGTGCTAAAAACATCCATTATACTTACTTCGATTGTGACCTCGCGCGAATCCGGTTACGCTCAGTAACCAAGTTTGTATCCTGGCACGACCTCGGTATTCTTTCGATAGCACGAGATCGCCAGCAAATATATGTCGACTTGGTCCATTAACTGCCTTCTGATATTTGGATTCCGGGGGATTTTATGGATATCCTGGCACACGTTCCTTTGTAGTGGTGTTCATAGTCTACCGCGACTCGTTCCCACGCTAGAAGGTATCATCAAATACTTGTAGCATCTTTAAGATAAAGCTATCAATAGAGTTGGGTCATAAAACTGATTTCGGTGGCACAAGGATCCCTCAAAAGGTTTTAATTTTTGCATAGAAAGACTAGCAACCGAAGCTCTACACATGGGCGAATCCGAATAGTAATAATAGGAGAGGTAGAATATAATTACCTGTCGCACGGCAAATAATAATTAATATGTAAACCTGAACTCATCCCATTTGATACATCACTTATTATATAAACAACGACAATTACATTCAGCTGTTCTACATGGTTTTTCTATGTGGATATGATGGAAAACTAATGAGAACAATAAAATAACACAAATATTCGTTTCTTCGTTTTTATTTTGTTTACCTATCTTCATTTTATGCCTGCTGTGATATGTGATTCATATCGTACATAAAAATCGTATCGTTGCTTAAAGATACACCGATCAGAGGCGATACGTGGTCAATCAAACTTCTTCTCACACCTCAAATCCACTTAGGAATACACACAGTCTGTTATCTTTACACACTTTTCGTTTAACACCACATGTGTCATGCACACTAAGGCAAATACCGACTTTAAATATTATTAACGTGATTCGATGACCTATTAAGTATACAGTTAACCGAACAACCATGTACCTATTTATATTCAATAATTTTGATGTCTGACTATATTTCCTAGAAATAGCTTGAACCAGATTGTCGTGAGATCTACTTTAAATTCATTCGTTGAGATGTTATATGTGCATTCTCCCTCCCTAAATATAGATGTTTTCGAAAGGATAGAATACGTATATCTGCAAATAAATCCCCAGAACAAATAGTTCTGCAAGTCTCCCAGACCGACCTTGACCTTATATGTTCTACTGGACACACTATATCTGAAAATGATGTTTCACACATCTGCACTAGATAACCATTAGGTATGTCGTATGATGCACCCCTCGCGACAACTAGTCAGCTTAGATCACATACTTCCTGACATGTCGTCTAGCTTCTAAATACTGCTTCGAAGTTTTGAGGATAGTTAACATAGACTTATTTGGTAATTAGGTATTTTTATCACTCGCATTTTTTGCTGGAGGCTTTGTATTGGCTGACACTGTCAAGCCCACATAGGTTATTCTAGCTTCTGGTCAGACCATTTTGTTTATTCTTCTCAGACCACATTTTGACCTCATCAGTTATTCGCCTATCAGCCCTGACCGTTTTTATACGATCATATGTGTGCTAATTACCCACTCTATTTATCGTGTCTGTAACTTACTTTTGTCTAAATATAAATACTGAGCCACATTTCATTAAATGAAGTTGGCTCAATCGCATTCTTCACTGGGCGTCGTTTCGCTTCATTCTTCTCACTCCGCCCTATTCTCTTCGTTTCCCTGATCGTCTGTTTGGATAAACGATTGTAGTAAATATACGTATTCGAAACCCATTCTTGTATTTAACTTATTCATTTCCATTATTCACCAACGTGATCTGAGTCGATGATTATATAGCGGGGATGTACATTCCGATGACAGTCGTAATACGGTTTAATCAAAACTAGATAAAGGGCCACACACTAAAAGTTGAGAGCCCGTCGATAGCATCATCGTCCGACTTCATAGACGTCAGAATGAAGGGCCACTTATCCATGACTTCTGGTTTGACAGGCTTTGTGACCCTCGGTTTTAAAGGTGTTATGGACCACTCCTTTTCAAGCCCCGAATGTCCGTGATGTCTTTGCACGTTGGTATGAAGTAATGCTGAGATATAAGATGCAAAGCGAAATGAAGAGTGAATTCATATGAGTAGTTGCAAATGGAGTGGGTTTAAGTCATCCCAAACCTCTAGCTTTTCGATTATTAGTCTAGTCAGGTGGCTCGGCTCAGATGTTGGTAACTCCATGAACTGTTGCTATGATAAAGTATGTCAGTTGGCAATCAGTGTCCTTAGTTATGGTATGTGCTTTGCACCTTCGAAGTGCAAAGTACTTCTACAAGGCTGGCAAGAATCTAATCCTGTACTCACCCTGGATGGTGAGCAGATAGAAGTAGTCTAGAAGTTCTTGTATCTCTAGGTGTCTGCATAAGTGCTGATGGTGGCGTGAGTGATAAGATCGATTAACGTATAGTGAAAGCCAGAGTGGCGTATGCCAATCCGGGCCATCTTCAGCGCCTTCGTGATGTCAGTCTGGGTGTAAAAGGAGGATCTACAACGCAGTTTTGCTCTATGCTTGTGAAACCTGGCCTCTCCGAGTTGAGGATGTTAGGCGATTCTCTGTGTTCGATCATCGCTGTCTCAGAAGGATTGCTGACATCCAGTGGCAACACCATGTTATTAATGCAGAGGTTCGGCATCGTGTGTTCGGGCACAGAGATGATAATGCAATTGGTGTCATCACCTTGAAACACCGACTTCGGTGGCTTGGACATGTTCTACGAATGTCGTCCCAGAGAATTCCACGTCGTGCATTATTTGCCGACTCTGGGACTGGTTGGTAAAAGCGAGGAGGTGGTCAGTGTACGATATTGCGTCGTGGTATGAAAGTAAACTGCAAAGGGCGGGCTTCTGTTGGTCCTTCACGACTCTTTGTCTGAAGTCCTAGAGATGGTGCAACACAGTGGCTAGAGACGTTATCAGATATGGCTCACAATAGAAGCCAATGGATATCCTGCTGTAACCTTCTTTTACTATCTCCATACAAAGTGGTTGTTTCTTCTTTAACTGAAAGAATTCTTGTAGTTGTACCTTTTCGTTTTCCTGATTATTAAACTACCATACGCTAATCTTTGGTCGTTATTGTTTTTATTCTTACACGCAACTTGCCTTCTTTTTCTACTCCTATCCCCCCTGTTTTGTGTGGCATATATATATCTGATGCCTACTTTTACCAATATGTGTTTAAATAAATAGATGATTACCACACAACTGCTTTCAAATTATAGGTGTCAACGCTGAGATTTGGCTTGACAGTTTCAAATAAATTGGGGATTGTTTAGAAAGTTAATCATAAATACATTTTTGTTATATACTAATCAGCATAAAAACTGTATTCCTGAAGTTTCGTGACTAAAGGTAGACCTTTATTCAAAGTAAATAAATAACCGAATTGAATAGTGCTCTCTACCTTCTTTAAAACCGGAAAAAATTAGACATAAAAGTATTAGATGGTCAAATATTAGTAAAATATGTGTTCTAACCACTCCGGACTTCATAGATCCACAACCTCACCAACCGATTTGCTACATCTGATCATTATTATGATCCTCGCTTCAACACTTTTTACTCTGCTTCAAAACATACAAACAGTGTTCTGAAGACACTTTTGGTCTAAACGTGATGGAAAATACACGACTTTTACATTTATTGACGATGTTTTGTGACGAAGAAACTGTTCACAGGAAACAGCAGTGCATTTTACTACCTCGTTCGGTAGTGGTTGTAGATCCCGCTTATTTCACAGCTGATGCAGGTAAGTGCAACCAATCAAGAGTGTTGAGTAGATAAAAATTTAATCAAATGTGTGAGCTAAACAGCCCTGAAAAAATTCGGATGTAAGCATGCGTCACTAAATTTTTATAGAGGTCGAACTTTAGCTATGTCTACAGCACAGTTAAGACTGGCGTCCTGAGTTACTAACAAAAATCAAACATGTACCATCTAGGCTCTAGAAAATCAGTAATCGAAGAATGTTGAGATAGTTAATCTAGTTTCTAGGGTGCAAGAGTTGATGACAGAGTATTCCTGAAAGAGGGATTAACGGTCACTATCAGTGTTTAAATGAAGAAAATGATGCCATACAGATAGGCTGGGTAAAGTCTCAGCCCAATTTCATCACTAAATCAATATT